CCCGCCGACGCCCCGCCTCTCCTGCGCGCTGATTGGCGCAGAGACCTGCTAGATATCACCTCAGACGGACCCTGACCGCTCGGCTTTCGGGAGTGCGGGGCCGCGGAGGCTGGTGGCGGAGCGGCGGGATCCAGGTGGGAGAAGCGCGGAGGGGTGTCCCGCGGTTCCCGGGGGGGGGTGAAGACTCCCGCCGCGGCAGCCGCTCCTTCCTGAGGCAGCCGCTGCCCGCTTGAGCTCGCCAGGCATGGCCGGCTGGGGAATTCTGGGAGTTGAAATCCGTGGCCGGCTGGGGAATTCTGGGAGTTGAAATCCATACAGCTTAAAAGTTGCCACGGTTGAGAATACTAATCCCAGGTGTGGGAAGACTGGTTTGAGCCGACCTTCAAAGGTAGTTTGTCCTTCTCCCAGATTAATTTACAGGGTCGATGAGCTGAAGAGTTTGGGGACCCTTGACTTGTCATCCCTAGAACTTCCTGCTGTGCTTTACTTTTAGAGGCTTGGACCACCATCCCAGAAGCAACTCAGAACTGAGGATATTCTGAAAACCAGTGATTGATGTCCCTTTCCGTACCCTGCTAATAAGGAGAAGTGCATTTTCTATTATTTATACAGGTAAACTTCTTCCTTGGATTAACAGATCTTTGGGCTGGGCTCACCCAGAAAATCTTGGCACTGGGATATAGTTCAGAGGGATATTATAATTACTACAATTATTTCTTAAATAAATTGCCAAAAATGAAATGAGTGCAACACAAGATTATTTCAGTTTTTCACTCAACCTGTATGTTTCTTTTCTTGGAAGTAAACACCATTGTGACTGATGCATTGTAGAGACCTTGTTACTTTCATTTGCCTGAATCTTTACACAGAGAGAAAATCTTGGCAATAGCATCAAAATCTCTCACAATAGTGTATGTGTGTGTTCGTGTTGAGTACTGCTTGTCCCGCATGGGAACTGAGTGGAACGCTTTCATAACCTGACACCATGAAATGAGGAGCAAGCCATAGAAAGTGGGACGTCACCAATACGCCATCCACCTATTCCACGTGGATCATTTCTTCTGCACTCCTGTGCGCACCTTTCCCACTCTGGCCCAAAGTTGGATTTTTATGCACTAGGAGAAGAAGCTGGTACACACATCGAGAGCCTAGCAGATCTGTGGTGATGTTGCATCATTAACTAGTGAAACGCAAATAAATGAAGCATCGCTGTTGCACAGTAATAGGTTTGTGCTCAGAGCTTGTAAGACGTTAGGCTATTGAAAGTTGACATTTTATGTTTCTCTGTGTTTGACGTTACACTTTCCTTCCTGGCAATCTCCTGCAGGGGCAACAATGGATCTTGTCCTGGCTTATGCAGATAGTTACATTTTGACACCATGGGTTTATCCAGCAACATGGCCAGAAGACAACCTTTTCCGGCAGATTGTTAGTCTCTCTGTTATAACCAACGTAGGGGCAATGACCCTTTATTTTCTGTTTGCCACTCTCAGCTACTATTTGCTTTTCGACCACTCATTAAAGAAACATCCTCAGTTTTTAGAGGTGAGTGGGTTACAGCAACTTAGCAGAGCTGCTGCTTCCTTAATTTCATTCAGTTATTTTTCAGTTTCATTCAGTTGTAACTGAACTTCATTCAGTTCATTCATTCATTGTACTGAAGTTGTTACCTAGTCGGGTAATGAAATGTCTGCAAGAAAACCACCAAGCTCAGAGAACACCAAGGACTCCACAGTTCAGCTGTGAGCTGCAGAGATTCTCTTCTATTCATTCAGTTACTCATGAGAGGCCAGATCTAATGATGAGCCAGAACTCTTTATCTTGTTTTGAGTTGTGCCATGTTTAATCCTCTTCTTAAATTTGTTAATCATGTTAATGCCATAAAGCAGAATGAAGGCCTTGTTGGGGGGGGGGTTCTCTTTGATATATCTATATAGTACTTTTGGTGGGTAGGAACATTTCATTTTTTCTCTCCTGGCTTAGTCACCCTCATTTTTATTGAGGAGCCCTTTTAGTGGGAATTGGACTGCTTTGTTGGAGATAAGATGATGTGTTCTTAAAATATGTAGATTTTTAAGGTAATGTTGCATAGTGGCTAAAGTGAGCAGTAAAGCAAGACTCTGCCGCAGATTCATTAAATGGCTTTAGGGAAGCCCCTTTTCTCAGACATTCAGTGGGGAGTGTGAGGTCTACACCCTTTGCGGAGGATTGCTGAGATACTGACACAGGCTTTGGCCAGTCTCAAGGGCTCAGTGATTTTAAAAGGCATTTTTACACATTGTCTGCTTTTTTGTTCAGAATCAAGTGCAGCGAGAGATAAAGCATACCGTCTTGTCTTTGCCGTTGATCAGCATTCCGACCGTTGCTATCTTTTTCGCTGAGGTCAGAGGCTACAGTAAGCTCTACGATGATGTTGGGGACTCTCCATATGGTAAGCCACCCATTTGGCTCACCCTCCCACACTGCCCTCAATGCTGCTCCACCTCATCTGTCTGAACTCCTGCTTGCAAATGCATTCTAGCCCTTGAGAGTTCCTCAGCTGGTCTTTTCTCTCTCTCACAGTCCAGAGGCAGTGTGGGGTGAGAAGCAGGTCTTGACTGCAGAGTACAGAAATGACAGGGAAAAGACTTCTGTTTTCTGTTCAAAATGCCACTATCACTTCCCTGCTCTCCCCCCTCCTCTTTTAAAATAAATCAGGGGCAATACAGATTTCAAGAAAAAGTTGAATGAAATGATGATTTGGGGAAGGAAAACCAAACAGAATGGAAGTAGAGTTAAATCTCTTCCAAATCAAACTTGACTCCTGAGGAATAGATGGTCATGTACAGGTAGCCTTGACAAGAATACAGAAATGCTTGGCTTCCTTCCAGGATGTTTTTTTTAAACATTCTACTCTAGCCAATATCTCTGATATTTCTTTGTGATCTCCCATCCAAGTACTACCCAGATCCAACTCTCTTAATTTTTTTAAAGATCAACCAAGTGTCTCCCCCACAAACTAACTGCTTCATACCCCAATCATTGCTGCTGTTTCTCTATTTCTCCCTCTCTTTTTCTCTCTCTTGCTTAAAACTAACTGCTTACTTCCAGAGATTTTGGAATCCAAGAGTATATCTTTGCCCTGATTATGCAAAGTAAAGTAGTTTAGAACTGGCCTGCTGTGGTGGAATTGTAGTTCCAACTTTTCTGGACTGTATCAGCTTAGGGGAAAATGTTCTAAATGATGTCTGCTATTTTATGGTAACTTTCAAGGTTGGGAATTGAAGGTTTTGAAATGTAAAATATTAGAAAGCATGGAAGAAAATCCCCTGCAATTATAATTTAATCACAAATGCAGTGCTGTTAACTTTGTTAGTAGCCTGCCCATCCATATGTTTTCTTAATTATGTGCATCTGTCAGTGAACTAGCTGTTTAGCCTGTTAAATTGGGGTCACAAGGAAGTGATTGTTGAAGCATACCTGTGAAGTTGCATCGTTAATTAGTGAAGAAATGGTAGCAGCAATCCTTTAGTTGATTAGATGATTTATTTTCCCACATATTTGTGCAATTTCTTAATTACCTTTGAATGGAAAAGTTTTACCATTCAGGCTGTTTCCAGTTGACAGCTGCATGTTCTTTTAAATGTACTGCAGGCCTGTGATTTCTGTTAAGACTTCGAAGAAACACAGAATGGAGCACAGCTCTGTCTGTAGGGAGGAAGACTTTCACAAGAGGAGAAGAAGACTGGTAGCACCTTTTCCAATTAACAGATTATATTCAAAGGCATCAGGTTTTGTGAGCTGTAGCTCAGTTCATCAGAGCACAAAAACTACAGCTCACAAAAGCTGGCACCTTTGAATAAAAAATATTAGTTGGAAAAGTGCTCCTAGACTCCTGATTTTTTGCCACCATAGACTAACATGGCTCGCCTCCTACAGCATCTACAACAGTGTTTCTCAAACTTGGCAACTTTAAGATGTGCGGACTTCAACTTTCAACTGGGAGTTGAAGTCCACATGTCTTAAAGTTGCCAAGTTTGAGAAACATTGATTTACAGGAAAAGGAGGCAATCTTAGGAAACTTCCTTTTTCCAATACAGGGAGGACTCCCATCATGGCCTCTTTACTGCCAGAACTGGGGCAGAAAAAAGGGGCAGACCGAAGTCTTGCTCCCAGGATAGGGGGAAAGCTATGCAAATTCTGACAGTGACCTAGCTTATTTTCATCCTGTTAAGAAGGAACAGGAGGGAAAGGGAAGAAGAAACACATTCACAAGCTCAGGCAATGGCCACCCATCTTAGAATCTCCCACCCCATCTCTCCCTGGATTGCTCTTTGACTACCCTGTTCTTGGATTTGGTGTCTGCCCAATGTTGCTAAGGTAGATGAAACTTCTCTTAATAAATGTATAAAAATTGTCAATAAATTTGACAAATGTCATTGTTCTCATGAATGTGTATTAAATCTACTGGAGTTGTGCCCAGTCTCTAATTTCCTTCCCTCCCTTATCTAGGATGGTTCGGTGTTGTCTTCAGCATGTTTTCATTTCTGTTCTTCACTGATATGTGCATTTACTGGATTCATCGGTTTCTCCATCACAAGCTCTTATATAAGGTAAGATAAATAATCCTATGGCAAGATAGTTTCCACAACAAAGCATTACCTGCAATTTGCATGTATTGAAGCAATATACTGATGAATATCAGTTGCTGGGAACAGAGCAAGAGAGGGCTTGTGCCTTGATGAATGTTCAGAGGTTGGTTGGTGGGAACATTCCAGTGGTGTAGCAGACGGAGGCAAACTTTTCTAGTCTTCAGTTGTGGGTCAGCCAGTTGTGGAACATTATGTGCACCAACATGGTTTCTTCCACAGTGCTTAGTTCTGTCCTTACAAGTGATGATGGAGTAACATTGGTGAAATTCACAGTGTAAATGGCAAATTGAATTAGGATTATCCAGGAAGCTATTTTTGTAGCTGGTAGGGACCTCAGCAAAAAAACTGCCATGGTCTGTTTCTGTCTTCATTCTAAGGATCTCATTCCTTTCTCTCTTCTGCAGCGTTTTCACAAGCCCCACCACACATGGAAGATCACAACTCCATTTGCCAGCCATGCTTTTCACCCTCTTGATGGTTTCCTTCAGAGTGTCCCTTATCATATCTACCCATTCCTTTTTCCTCTTCACAAAGTGACCTATCTGGGTCTCTATGTCATTGTCAATATCTGGTCAATCTCTATTCATGACGGGTGCTATCGGGTTCCTGGTGTGCTGAAACAGATTATCAATGGAGCTGCCCATCACAGTGATCACCACCTATACTTTGATTACAATTATGGCCAATACTTTACACTCTGGGATAGAATTGGAGGTTCATACAAAAACCCCTCTTCCTTTGAAGGTCAGGGGCCCCATGAATATTTGAAAAAGCTGGGAAATGGCCATGGGGATCAGAAAGTACTAGGAGATGATGATGTTAAAAATAAATAGCAATCCTTCCCAGCTGAAGGATTAGGAACCTCTATGCCTTATGAACTGCGTAGCCAGAATTCAACCTGTTCCCCACCCAACAGCTTTGGAAATGGAGGCCTTTGGCACCCAGCATTCTAGGATGAGAAGGCAGAAAGAAAATACAGACTCATCACAGAGCAGGATCTTTGATGTTGACCAGTGGTGGAGAAAGCACCCATAAATGAATTCTCCTGTTGCCATTGGAATGAAATCAGGAAGTGGTCGGTGCTGCTCTTAAGTCCATCCTCAGCAGATGTTCATTTGCAAATTTCAGCAAGATCTTGTAAGTTGTTACTGTGCAGCCAGTTAAGAATGGCTACTGCTATACCAGTATATTAGTGTGTGTTTTGGATTTGGTGTGAATGGAGTCATTGTTCCCATTGTGAAATTAGTATCCTTAAATGCATATTACAATGCACTTTAGTCTTGTTTTAACAGACAAATTGGTGGGAGGAATTTCTTAACTCCTGAACTGAAGAGTACATCGGCACAACAGTGCAAATGATGTAATTTGCATCAGAGCATCAATACCCAAATGACACCAAGTGGCAACAGAACTTTGTGCATTGCCTGCAAAGTCCTGTCAAGGTCTAGAATAATGAAGTCTCACTGAACAACTGTTGAATAAGTTACGAGATGAGGAGAGATGTCATGCTAAGTATAATGTATCTAGATGCAAGTGCAGAAATAAAGCATAGGAACTTATGCTTTCATTTACTCCTTCAAAGACATCATGGCCTCTGTTTTGCAAAGAGGCCTGATATATATGTGTCTTTAATTCACTCCATAATCAATACATTTCAAACTTCTGTAGTGACATATCTAGGAACAGGGGGTGGTTCTGATTTTTACCCTCAAAGTGAAAATGTAGATTGAGTTTACATTGGTGGAGCTGTTTTACAAATTCACAAATTATTTTACAAATTATTTTACAAATGTTTAAGAGCTGCACTTTGTATGTAGTATTGCTTTGCTCACAAGGTTCCATCTACCACTAAATTCATCTCAGTGAGACTTCTCTAGAGAAACATTGGTTTGATGTACTAAATGGTGCTGCTGGCTAGTGATGATGGGAGCTGGAGTCCAACTCATCTGGAGAACACCAGATGGAAGAAGGGTATTCTAAATCATTGCTTTTGCTTTTCTCCTCTTCAGTATGTATCACCTTAAAGATTAAAATCATTCCCCCAACATATATTTATCAGGATGAATATTATTGCTTCGATAAAAATAAATGCAAATAGTTAAGGAGATAATGTGAAAAAATTCTGATTTGTTTCTTGTAATACAGGATGTCCTGTCGTTTCTCCCCTCAAAAAATTAGGCAGGCTGTGGAAACTGTCTTCTTTTTAATAATGTTTTTAAAGGATCAAACTTATTGTTGCAATAAGTTATAAAATTTACAATCAGTGTTTGTAAATTTAAAAAATGAAGGTGTATATAGTGTAGTTGGTTTATTAGTTCTGATGTTTTCTGATGATTAAATCATTAAAATGAATTGTCTGTGAACAGATTTTCATAACCACACAGCCAGCATCACAGCTACATCCAAGAAGCCCCATCTTCCCCAATTTGCTTGTCAAGTCAAGCTCTGCTCTTTGGCCTGGCCATATTGACACTGCCTTCCTCCAGGGTGTTTTGTTTTTTTTTCAACTTCTCAGTCTAGTCTGCAATGCTTAAGATTTCCTTTGGGTCTCCCATCCAAGTTACAAGCCTGATCCTACTTTGCTTCCAAACCCAGGGCAAATCAGCTAAGTGCTGCCACCTTGAAGCCAAAGCTTCTTACAAGACATCTAGGACCTTGTACCTCTCATTGTGCAAATACATTGTATTATTAAGTGTGTGTCATGTTCTGTAGGAAGTTTCAGCATAATGTGGTTCTTTGCCATTCACAGCTGAAGCTTTATGGATTGCAACAGAAATTTTAGAGAGCTTTAAACATATATTTTTCCTGCAAAACCTCTCATTGTGCCTATCAGAGCCTGGTGGTTATGTCTACCAATGTATATTAAATTTCTTTCTTGAAATATACGCATTTAACAAAAAAATGAAAAATTTATTGAACTCTATTGGCTCGTGTGTATAAAAGTTAAGATGGTGAATGGGTTCACAATTTGAAGTCATACTGATTTGATCTTGGAGTTTGATTTTGGAGTAGTTTTATGAGTAAACTACATCATTTGGCTTGTTTAGGAAATTAAGAGTGAATCGATCCTATGTGCTTTCTGTTTATGAAACCAGAAGGTAATACCCCATGCTGTGCAAACCCTAATTCTGCAGAATTTCCACTGGAATATTTTGAAATAAATTCAGGTTTATTTTGGAAGGGATGCTAAGCCCTCATGTGTTTTCTTTGATATTTGGCCTTGGGTAAATCCGGTCACGGGCTGGAAAACCCTGGGTTATCGCTTAATACCTTGTATGACCCAATCTATGTCTCAGCAAACTGTAGGGATTTGATGGTAGGCCGACTTCCAGCTGCTTGGATTTGTGAGTCATAAAGTTGCAGGAGAGAGCTGCATTCGTTTTATCATGTTTCCTGACTGCAAAGCTAAAAAAAGATGAAATAGAATTATAATAACTATTTGTAAAGGAGAAATGGTATGGTGTAATGGTTGAGGCACTAGACTGGCTCCTCCACTCTCAGCCATGGAAACTCACTGGGTGACCGTCACGGGTTTGTTGTTGGGAGGGGAGATGGGAGGAAGAAAGGCAATGAGCTCCTGGAGGAAAGGCAGTATATAAATCCAACAACTAAAGAAATAAACAGAATAAAAACAGGATTCAGGAAGTAGAAAAAAGAGAAAAACATTATTACACTAGCGTTGGACAGTAGAGGCATTTGCTTGAGATTTAAAACACCCTTTTGGCCTTTGAGGTGTCGTGCAGAGTGATAATTACAAACACTCCTGTTTGTGCAGAGCGCAGCAAAAACTCCAGGAAAATATTAGCCATAAAAGCAAACACATCAACAGTGCAGCTATTCACTGGGTAACTAGCATACACACGCCAATAGGTGGCAGTAAATAGCACAATACACAACACACAATAACAGGTGTTTTTCACATGATCTCTGTAGCCAAAATATTATTTGTTATTGTTGTAAAGATAACGGGATGAATCCTTTCCCATGAGAAAGAAAATCCTGATACCCCTCTCAGCCTGTTTTCGACACAACAATACACGTTACAAAAATAATACAGACAGTTGATTACAACAATACAGAAACATTTACATTTGTTCACATCCAAGTCTGGTTAACATTGTTTCATGTTGTATAATAGGCAATGATTTGGTAAATACATCTGCAAGATTTGATTCAGATACACAATACACAAGATCAATGAAATTTTCTAAAATAGCTTGTCTTACATTTTTGTACTTTACATCCACATACTTAGTACGAGCTTTTAAGTTTTCTGTTTTAGCTAACCCTATACAGGCCTGGGAATCTTCATGTACTGTATAAGGCAATGACACTTTGATCCCTAAATCAGCGAATAATTGATGAAACCATCTTAAATCACAAATTGTTTCTGACAAAGCTGCGAATTCTGCTTCTGCAGTAGATAAGGCAACTGATGTTTGTTTTTGCTTTCCACGCAATTGTGGATTCACCAAATTTACAAACAAACCCAGTTATTTCTCCATTTGCTTTGCAAATTCTTTTACCAAGTTTAAAGAACCAGTGACAAGACAAAAATCATCAACATAAGTGATAAGGACTGTATAACTTTCTCCAGTTCCTCTGGTGTACACACATGAATCAGCTAATGATTTCTTGAAACCAATTTCTAACAAAGCTGCGAATTCTGCTTCTGCAGTAGACAAGGCAATTGATGTTTGTTTCTTTGCTTTCCACGCAATTGTGGATTCACCAAATTTACAAACAAACCCAGTTATTTCTCCATTTGCTT